AAGCAGCAGCTGGACCATCAGGGCTTCAGGTCAGGTCTCACTTAGGACGTTTTGTTAAGAATCACCAGCATTAGCAATGACACTGAGGGACGTTTGGGGACGTTTTTAGACTGTTTGGATTTGCAGTTTAGGGAAGGGTTTAACCAAACGGATTTGGAGAAACTCAGTTGATACCATTGAACCATACTTTGAAATTCACAGGGAGATTCTGATTCTGTTCCCATCGAAGCGTCCAGTCAGCACCACCAGCTACCGGAAGCTGTGGGGGTATTTATATGATAGTATCAAAACACATTTCATTCTTGGTTTTGGTCTGTTAATTGTTTTTATTGATGGTAAGAAACTCAAGCCGAGTCAGCCTTAATCTTTAACACAAAATACGTGATTAGAATAGTAAATAATTATAGAAAGTAAGTAATCACCATTATACCATGAAATAATGACTCAAGACAGTTTCACAAGAGAACAAGATAAAACCTTCACCAAACGGTCACTGAGACCCTCACTTTGCTCCACATGCTCCTCCATGGTCACTCCCTCCTGGAGCTGGTCACCATGAGTGAAGACGATCACGGCATATTTTAGAGCATTTTCAGGGAAATCCTCACATATTTCTGTGATGACGGCCGTCTCCTGCTCTGTGAATTTCTCCACTTTCAGCACAATGAGAAAAGCATGGGGCCCAGGAGCGCACTCTGTGGTGCACCTCCTCCTCTCAGGACCCTTCTTCTACTCAGATCTGCCCGGCTCAAAGAAGCCACGAGTGAACATTTTAATCAATCTGGAAAGCATCTCTGTGATTGTCAGCCAATATTTATTTTCTTTACCTTGATCTATTTCAATGAAATCCATCCTAATGTATTGAATACATAACCCTTTCTCGTAATTTAGATCTTAGGGTTTGTGTTTTTCACAACCAATGAATTCCCCAAAACATTTATATTAGTAATAAGTACAGCTAAACGCTGTACAAGACTTTCCATCCCTCCTGTTGAGAATGTGTTAATTTAACACCGAGATCAAAATAGCCGCATCTCTATATAAAGACTTTAACTCTTCCGCATTATGTCACAAGTGTGTATTTTTTTTCTTAAAAGGTTTTTCCCTGATAAAGTTGGTCGGATGTTTTGTGGTTTCCTGTTGAACCAATGAACCAATATAAATTATCTATTTATTTTATAGATGTGTGTGTGTCGGAGTGTCGCTTTACAAAGTAAATATATGTTTCACAGGCTTCAATTTGTTCATGTTTTTATTTGTCTTGCTAATACTTTTTAATCTACAGAAAACTACAATTATTGTCTCACAAAATGATGTAAATAGAAACAAAAACATTTTCTGGTTAACTTTGTAACAGGAAACAGGGAACAATGATTCAACATCCAACAGACCACATAGTTTGATCATGAAACAACATTATATTTGTGGTTTGTGGCCACAGTTGATAATACATATAAGAAATAGCAAATCAGGCATAAGAAAAGATTGAACTTTCTTTAGTCAGGAAGCACTTTGCTCTGCAACACGCTTTAGAAAAGAGTCAGAAAATAGAAGAAAGCTCACGCAAGAAGTTCAACCTGTTACATACGAACACCATCATCTCAATAGTTTATTTAGAAAATAGACATTTTTAATGACACGATTAAAGGCCGATTAAATTAATTCCAATTTGCTGTTTTTTCCTGATCTTTGAAGAAAGCAGTTACATTAACGACAGCTTTTGCTGCCGTCTTTACTGCTTCGCTCAGTGTGGCTGCTTCTTCGCCAGCATTGTATCCTATAAAACCTCCTTTGATCGCTCCTCCTAAAGCACCTGCCACCATCACTGAGAGTGCTGTTTTTCGAGCTGCTTCTGTTGTTGCTGTGACTCTTTGTACTCCTGACGGTATCACTAAACATACTTTGACTACTTCTTCCGACAGGGATTCGTTTAGAAGTTTGAGAACCTCTGCAACCGTCAGGAAGCTACCAAGAAGAGCTCCTAACATTGCGCCTGTTAAAATACCTGTCAAATGGATCAAAGGCTTTGCAGATACTCTCTTTTTAGCCTCCTCTAGGATCTCTTTCTCTGTCTTGTTTCCTGATGACTGTCCGATCTTTTCCTCCTCCTCTTGTCTCAGTGTCTCCATAGCTTGTAGCATCTTGTTGGTGTAGCAGCTTCCCTTGTTTTCCTCAATCATGTGATTGATGGTCTTCATCAGCTGCTTCACTTGGAACTGGTTGCTCCTGTAATCATCCAGCTGGTTGTTCTTCCAGTATTTGTTATCAACGACGTGGCAGCGGCCTCCACACTTCTTCATCAGATCAGTCACAAGATGATTGTTGTGGAAATATTCCTCAATGGTCTGTCCTTCCTTGAGCTGGTAACCATGAGTAAAGAGGACTGTTGCATACTTGAAAGCTTCTTCAGAGAAGTATTGGTTGATTTTATTGATTACTTCCTGCTCCAGATCTGTGAATCTCTCCACCTTAAACACTATGATAAAAGCATGAGGCCCAGGAGAGCACTCTGTGATGCACTTCACTATGTCAGGCTTCAGCTCCTCTTCAGGTCGACTCGTGTTGAACCAACAAGGAGTGTCGATCAAAGTGACGTCTCTTCCATCAACACGTCTGGTTACTGATCGACATTCTCTTGTTTCAGAGTTGCAAGTGTGGCCGATCTGGAACACGTCCTCTCCTAATATGTTGTTACCCAGGCTGCTTTTACCAACTCCTGTTTTTCCCAACATTACAATTCTCATCTCTGAAAGACAATAATGTCCATCAATTATATTGTACATTTGCCTTTTGGTTGTTTTCATAAAGGACACACATGAGCTCAAATACAATAAATGTTGTTATTGGTCAAAAGTTACAATGAGAATTGAAAGTAGTTCGTACTTTACTTTAAAACAGTCATCAGAGATCAATGTAACAAAAACACAAACATAAAAATACAGAATCAGCTGTAACAGCACTGAACACAAAACACAGTGAAAGAAATGAACTTACTTGTCGTCGAGGGTGAAGTGACAGTAGAGACAGTTGGACGGAGCAGACTGAGTCTGAAAGTGTTTCCTGAATCTTCTTCAAGTACGTTTTTCACCACAACGCGTTTGTTACTTCCTCCTTTCACGTGATCTCCCCTCAGTCCTCATGAGGTTCCCTTTATAAAAGGAACTAATTCAACTAAAGCAATTTATGTTCTGTACTGTTCACCAAGCACAGCTTCAACTTGTTATCCATCGAACAGTTACACAAAAACAAACCTGTCATTCAGGATTCAGGACGTCTTTTCTTGCCTATTTGTTTTGCAGCTGGTTTCATTTCCTGACTGAATAGAAGCGACAGAGAGAAACAAAGACGCTGTCGTGTTCATCGCTGCATTAAAAACACTTTCATCAGGTGCTTAAAAAAAGGAACTCATAAACTTTACATTACTTCAAATGCTTCAACACTGATTCTCTATCAGGATGAAAAGAGAAAGTATTTTGTGACCCAAACACTCACTAAAAAAAGGTTCTGTCAGGTCGATAATATTTATTTTCACAACACTGGGAATGAGGAAGGCACTTGTAAATGACGAGGTACAACATGTAAACCACCCGTTTGACACCTTTACTGAAGATGTGCAGAACACTGGCTGTGATACTGTAATAAGGAGAATAAATATGAAACAAAAGGGAAAACAGGGCAGGAAGAGAACATCCAGGGCGCCTCAATGTCTTAATGTGAAATACAATTTAACGCGTGTCCTTGTGTTCCAGTGTGACGACTTCATGGATTCTAACTGACACTGACGGACGCCTTCCACGTCCTTCCTGTTGTTCTGGTGTTTTTCACAGGTCCGTTCACACTGGAGGTGAAACCCTGCAGACACACACACAGACACCGTCAGTGACTTTGGGACTTTTCTTTCCTCCATCGACAGCAGATCTCATTTGGGATTCTACAACATGAGACCTGCTGAAAGTCAGTTAGAGAAGAGAATCACTATGAATGTGAAGTTTATTGTTTTATGATCAAACTATTTTTATTTAAGCTGTATGAAATAACGTAGTGATGCAAACGAGACTGAAGAGTCCATAATAAAGACACACTTTACCTGCAGCTCCATTTACTTTCTAAATAATATAAACGCATTTGCAATGATAAATGCTGAGAATCTGCAGCATCGAGCTGCTGATTGGATCTCGGCGGACTATCTGAGAGGTGGAGGAACGTGAGAGTAACGTGATCAGGCTGTGAGCTGCTCAGAGGAGCCTTTACGGGAAATGGAAGCATTTCTGATGAAACTTCGACGAGCTGTAAAGTCCCTCGTGCTGACACGGAAGAAGTGGTCGTTCCAGCTGAAGATGTGCAGAACTCTGGGACGTTGGCGTCCTCTAGTGTCCAAACTGAGGGAATATTTATTAAGTGATTGAGCTCTACAGTCTGATACAATCAGACACACAGGCCTGAGATCTGCTCATCATTTATGATTCATTAAGGGAGAGGGTCCTTTTATTTACAAGGTTAACGCCGCGAACTGTTGAGCAGGAGGAGGAGAACATGCACAAGTCATGCAGGCCTTATACCTTTAATTCCTGGGGGGGTTGAAACGTGCGCCATTGGGCATGAGACTAACTGATTAACTGTTTTGTCTTTCTGTTGATGCAGAAGTCTGATGTGGAACTTTTTATTAATTAACCCATGAAAGTGAAGCACAACACGCTCGGCTGATGACGATGCTAAAGATTGCAAAACCAAATGAGTGTTTTTAAGCATCACTCCGGTGATTGGCTTCCTGGTCTGTGGAAGGAGGCACAGGAAGCAGCTCTGTGTGGCGTCAGATCAGTCTCAATAATTGCAAATGCACACAGAAGGACTTGTAAATTCATTTGACTCACAAATGCATGCAGATGTTGTCTTTTTCACTCATGGTTTGATATACAATTCACGTTTTAATTAATATGCTTAAACAATCAAGCTATTCCAAGCAAATGTTGTGTGAAGTTAGTCAAAATGATAGCGACTAACTTAACTCAGTTCCCTCCTCCCCTCTGGGAGGCACTACAGGGCTCTCTGTTCCCGGACCAGCAGCTTCTTCGCTGCTGAACTCTGCCCCACGGTGACAGCCGCCCCCCCTCACCCTGGACGACCACGTGTCCGTCGGTGTGAAACTGTGAATATGTAACCAACTATACTATGGAGGAGCCTGCGCATATTATTATTTCGATTTTCCAAAAATCGATTGGCATTGAAAGTTGGCAAGATATTGACAGATTCAGACTTCATTTTACCAATACGGACCGGGTCTGCGAGCTGGACGCGTTGCTCTTAATGTGCCGGTAATGATGGTTGTAGCTGGTTGTCATCTACGGTCCACTACGATTACGTTTGTTTTTCGACAACGTTTTATCTCATAATTTCAACTTTTTATCCCCTTACATTAGTGCGGAAATGGGCTTCTATAGTTGTGTGGATGCATCGCTCCAGCCAATCCAGAGACGGGGTTTGTAACCAATCAGGTGTAGAGACCATGGTGACTGGCTCCGCCCCCTTACTGTCATAAACAAAAACAGTGAGCGCGTAGAAACACCTTCAAGCGCGAGCAGAGACTAACCTCGCGAGCGAGGAAGTTCACGCTCCGCGAGCGAGCAAATATCTTGCGCGAGACACAGATGTTTGATTTACGTGCGCGCATCAACCTGATTTGCGCTCTTGACTTTTGACAGTGATTTGCCGCCGTACTAGGCTCTGTAGTTCAACATGTTCCACCAGTTGGAATTTTGCCTCCAAGATGATCAAATTTGTGTAGTTTGGTGTTTAAAATAACATTAACAATTAAACAACTGTTACATTCTGCCTGTGCCTGGCCATGCAACAGAGAGGGAAGACCACGCGGATGAGTTGATTGAAAGAAAATACCGTTTATTAAGGACAACGAATGAGCAACGTAAAGTAAATAAAGTCAGTATAAGTGTTAGTCAGGAGAACTGAAAGCTTATGCAATCAGGGTATATGAAAAGTCATGTAAAAGGAAACAAAATCAGCAAAACGGTGCGGGAGAGAAGGAGAAGCGGCAGCCCTCCTTCCACCAGGTCTCCCCAGCTTTTAAACCCCTCAGGATACATAAAGCCATCCCAGGTGTTCCTGGAAGGAATCATAGGAAACCCGTCACACCTGTGCTCCGCTCACCTGTAGGGGAGATGCAAATAGACAAAACGAGGAGGAGGAGCCGGCAGGTCCGTAACACAACAGTGTCTAAAATATACACTTTCTAAAGTACTCATTACTTTTAAGATGTAGTCTTTAGAAGAAAAACAAACATTCATTAAAAACAACATTCATTAATCTCCATTAAATGAGATTAAAAGTGCGATTAATGAATCAATTTTTTTAAATCTATTGACAGCCTTAATATATATATATATAACGCTGATTGGCTCCAAACGTTACGTCACATCAAAGATGCTTTATTGGGAAGATCAAGACATCAACTTTCCTCCTTGTTTCACTCCAATCTCAGAAACACTGACTGACCAGTTGACCCCCCACAAAATAAATATATTAAATATTGATAAATATATCAATCATAATACAATATATTATTATTATTGCCGCAATGCCATAATTAGTTTATAACGTTCCATAATGTGTCATGTCATAAAGTAATGTACTGTGAGCAACGTTAACACGTAGTAATAACTGAAATAATTAACTTGAAGTTACTGAGTCTGATTTCAGAAGAGAAATCAGTGAAGAGTGAAAGTTTTCACACAAAAATGACGTCCTGTGTGTCTCTTTTCTCTCCTTTTACACAAGTCTTACCTTCACTTCCTGTGTGTGTGTCTGCGTGTATTTTCTAGAGATCTTCTCGATGTTGAAACAACATTATATTTGTGGTTTGTGGCCACAGTTGATAATACATATAAGAAACAACATATCAGGCACAAATAGGAAAAGATTGAACTTTTATTTAGTTAGGAAGCACTTTGCCCTGTAGCTGTTGCAACACGCTTCTCAATGGTCAAGAATTCCATGTTTTTTAAAGGAAGGTGGGACATCTTTAATGACACACTCCCATCTTTAAGAATCAGGGCCAATTAAAGGCTGTTATTCACATTTGTGGTTATTAATTAAAGACAGCTTTTGCTTCCCTCTTTGCTGCTTCACTTGGTGTGTCTGCTTCCTTAGTGGCATCCTATCCTTTAAAACTTCCCTTGATTGCTTCTCCTCAGGCCATCATTGAGCCTGCTGGTATTCCAGCTGCTCCTGCTGCTGAAACTCTTTGGACTTTTTCTTGAGACAGGGATTGCTGTAAAACTTTGATACCTCCTACAACCACCAGGACGCCGCAAGAAAAGAGAAAAGGACTCCTAACAAAACACCTGTTGCAATACTCGCCAAATCAAAGCATTTGTTGTGTTCAAAAATGAAGAAACTCGACGTTCGAATCGAGTTGTAATAAAAAGGTATTTGATAAAGAGTTTCAGAATTATAGCTTTATCCTAGTCTACAATAAATGCATTTTATTAATTAATTTAATTTATGAACCGGGTTGTCAGTTTGTTCATAAGATTCCACACTGTCCAAATACTCTCTTTTTAGCCTCCTCTCTGATCTCATCCTCTGTCTTGTTTCCTGGTGACTGTCTGATCTTTTCCTCCTCCTCTTGTCTCAGTTTCTCCACAGCTTGTAGCATCTCGTTGGTGTAGCAGCTTCCCTTGTTTGCTTCAATCATGTGATCGATGGTCTTCATCAGCTGCTTCACTTGGAACTGGTTGCTCCTGTACTCATACGGCTGGTTGCTCTTCCAGTATTTGTTATCAACGACGTGGCAGCGGCCTCCACACTTCTTCATCAGATCACTAACAAGATGATTGTTGTGGAAATATTGCTCAATGGTCTGTCCTTCATCCAGCTGGTCACCATAAGTAAAGAGGACTGTTGCATACTTGAAAGCTTCTTCAGAGAAGTATTGGTTGATTTTATTGATCACTTCCTGTTCCTGATCTGTGAATCTCTCCACCTTAAACACTATGAGAAAAGCATGAGGCCCAGGAGAGAACTCTGTGATGCACTTCACTATTTCAGCCTTCAGCTCCTCTTCAGGTCGATCCGTGTCGAACAAACCAGGCATGTCGATCAAGGTGACGTCTCTTCCATCAACACATCTGGTTTCTGATCGACATTCACTTGTTTCAGAGTTGGCAGTGCGGCCGATCTGGAACACGTCCTCTCCTAATATGGTGTTCGCCACGCTGCTTTTACCAACTCCTTTTTTTCCCAACATTACAATCCTCATCTCTGAAAGACAATAATGTCCATCAATTATATTGTACATTTGCCTTTTGTCTGTTCTCATATATGATACACATGAGCTCAATTACAATAAATATTGTTATTGGTTAAACGTTACAATAAAAATTGAAAGTAGTTCGTACTTTACTTTAAAACAGTCATTATCATCTGAGAATAATGTAACAAAAACACAAGCATAAAAATACAGAATCAGCTGAAACAGCACCGAACACAAAACACAGTGAAAGAAATGAACTTACTTGTCGTCGAGGGTGAAGTGACAGTAGAGACAGTTGGACGGAGCAGACTGAGTCTGAAAGTGTTTCCTGAATCTTCTTCAAGTACGTTTTTCACCACAACACGTTTGTTACTTCCTCCTTTCACATGATCTCCCCTCAGTCCTCATGAGGTTCCTTTTATAAAAGGAACTAATTCAACTAAAGCATTTATGTTCTGTACTGTTCACCAAGCACAGCTTCAACTTGTTATCCATCTAACAGTTACACAAAAACAAACCTGTCATTCAGGATTCAGGACGTCTTTTCTTGCCTATTTGTTTTGCAGCTGGTTTCATTTCCTGACTGAATAGAAGCGACAGAGAGAAACAAAGACGCTGTCGTGTTCATCGCTGCATTAAAAACACTTTCATCAGGTGCTTAAATAAAGGAACTCATAAATTTTACATTACTTCAAATGCTTCAACACTGATTCTCTATCAGGATAAAAAGAGAAAGTATTTTGTGACCCAAACACTCACTAAAAAAAGGTTTTGTCAGGTCGATAACATTTATTTTCACAACACTGGGAATGAGGAAGGCACTTGTAAATGACGAGGTACAACATGTAAACCACCCATTTGACCCCTTTACTGAAGATGTGCAGAACACTGGCTGTAATACTGTAATAAGGAGAATAAATATGAAACAAAAGGGAAAACAGGGCAGGAAGAGAACATCCAGGGCGCCTCAATGTCTTAATGTGAAATACAATTTAACGCGTGTCCTTGTGTTCCAGTGTGACGACTTCATGGATTCTAACTGACACTGACGGACGCCTTCCACGTCCTTCCTGTTGTTCTGGTGTTTTTCACAGGTCCGTTCACACTGGAGGTGAAACCCTGCAGACACACACACAGACACCGTCAGTGACTTTGGGACTTTTCTTTCCTCCATCGACAGCAGATCTCATTTGGGATTCTACAACATGAGACCTGCTGAAAGTCAGTTAGAGAAGAGAATCACTATGAATGTGAAGTTTATTGTTTTATGATCAAACTATTTTTATTTAAGCTGTATGAAATAACGTAGTGATGCAAACGAGACTGAAGAGCCCATAACAAAGACACACTTTACCTGCAGCTCCATTTACTTTCTAAATAATATAACTGCATTTTCAATGACAAATGCTGAGAATCTGCAGCATCGAGCTGCTGATTGGATCTCGGCGGACCATCTGAGAGGCGGAGGAACGTGAGAGTAACGTGATCAGGCTGTGAGCTGCTCAGAGGAGCCTTTACGGGAAATGGAAACATTTCTGATGAAACTTCGACGAGCTGTAAAGTCCCTCGTGCTGACACGGAAGAAGTGGTCGTTCCAGCTGAAGATGTGCAGAACTCTGGGACGTTGGTGTCCTCTAGTGTCCAAACCGAGGACGTCTTCATTAAGTGATTGAGCTCTACAGTCTGATGCAGAAGCCATTCAGGCCCGCGTGCCATTGGGAATCCGATCAACTGATGACTCTTTCGTCTTTCTGTTGATGAGCCAACGCACGTCTGCAGGACGACAATCCAGCAAACATAAAGTAGCACTTTAATCCGATTAGAAATAAAGCCCATTGTTAGTGTTGCCCTCCTCTCGATGGCGCGTCAAATAACAACAGCGGACACCTTAAATAAATGTGCAAGTAAACAGTTTTAGTGTTGGTTTCTATACAACGTTATTCGCCCGTCAGCCGTTCTTCTCTACAGATCCAAACATCAACAACATGGGAATACACAGGCTTCTCCATAACAGTCAGATGAACACACAGGTTAGCTTGTTAGGCTAATGCTAATAACGGCCCCAGAACAACAACTCTTTTACACTCATTACTGTCATTAACTAAGTTAACAGTTTTCTTGAACAGTGTTTCATACGTAAGAATCTCACCTTAAATACACGTACAAGTAAACAGTTTAATGGTGTCTATGCAACGTAAGTCTCCCACCAGCAGAGCTGCCAACTTTTCAAAAAACCTTGGAGTGAGATTTTGTCGGGGGTGACCAAGATTTTGCCGCGCACGCAGCCACACACGTTGGTGGCTCATATCAGGAAATCGGAATTCATTTGGCGTAGTACCCATGTTGTACCCTGCATTCTGGTGGTTTGTGGGGCCCAACGTCGTTGAGAGGGGCGGCCTGCTGGAGATGGACAACATTGGTTACATTCTGAGAAGCAGAGACGTAGCTGATGGTCCACCCCAAGGACATTCTGGTTTAAGTAGATCTTATTTCATGCATTCTAGTGGATCTTTGGGTGGTATGCCTGAACTTATTCTGATTCATGTTTATCTGCTCATGACTTGTGGGGCCTTCTAGACTTGAGCTGAACATTCATCCAGAAAACTATTGCTGTGCCTCAATGACTGTCTATGTACCACAATATAGCCTAATTAATAGACCTGTGTTTAAGATTTGACCAATTTAGGTTGATTGACATTTTGATTACAATGGTATTCAACTAACTCTTAACTGAAACCTCACCTATATTGTTAATAATTGTATTATTAAGAGCACTTAATGATTCATGTTCAGCAAAAAATGACAAGTTTAGTTAGGGAAAAATATTTTTCATTATCAAACAAAAAGTGCAACAAATAAAGTGCTTAAACAGGAGCCTTTCAAAGCAAAACAATTTATACACATAATATAAATACACATAAATAAAATAACAAAAGATGAGGTATTAAGAAGGAGATCAGAAGCTGGTTAGTCATTTTTTATCAAGCATTGTTTATTAAGGCTTAATAAACAATGCTATGATGTTTTGAGCGTGCAGTACACCAAGAGGTTAACAAGGTGCTCTCCTGCTGCTTGTTGTGACAGTTTAAATTCACCACTCAAAATCACACAAACACAACTAATCAGTTCTTTCAAGATTTAAAGTTTAAGAGAGTGAGTACTTAATTGAACCACATGTCATTAACATACCTTAGTCTTTGCTCCTCCTTAGTTTCTCCCGCGGTTGTGTCTGTTTGAAAATCTTCTTCTGTTGCTAACTCCGGGACTCTTCGGGGTAAATAGGATGTCTATGCAGCGAATGGGTTTACAGATGCGCTCCTTAGCGCCGTCTATCGTCGGGGAGTTTGAAAACGAACGAACGCGCTTCGGCCCAAAATCAGAATTTATTTTTTGCCGTGAGAAATTGGTTGTGTGGCGTGAGTGCGTGTGAAAACATGCAAAAGCGTGTGTCACACGGCGAAACCGTGAGAGTTGGTAGGCCTGTGTTCACCAAGCACAGCTTCAACTTGTTATCCATCTAACAGTTACACAAAAACAAACCTGTCATTCAGGATTCAGGAAGTCTTTTCTTGCCTATTTGTTTTGCAGCTGGTTTCATTTCCTGACTGAATAGAAGCGACAGAGAGAAACAAAGACGCTGTCGTGTTCATCGCTGCATTAAAAACACATAAACTTTACAT